GCAGTAAATATTTGAAGAACCAAAGCCTAAAATGCTCTTAGCAAGTTTGTGAGACAGGAATGTGTTTTGTTTTGTTTTTTTCCAAAACGAGATAAACAATATAAAACCTCTGCAAAAATAAATGCTGCAAAATTGACTGCAAATAAGGTCATAACTGTTTAAATGAACTAAAACTTATTTAAAACTAGATCATGATGATAAAAACGAAACTGAATGACACAACTGAGAACAAACTAATATGCTATATTGGAAATCAGATATTCCATTTTGGCATTACTTCACTGCTTTTATGCAAGAAAAGGGCAATCTTTGTAAATAACCACTGATAATAGTGGCTTGTTACTTAAATAGCATTCAAAGTAAGACACAATGAAGATGCCACAATGATGGAGTTCTCAATTATATTGCAATAAATTTAGCTGCTATTATCTCAGCTATAGAATTCTTTACATTCTGATAAGATCAAAATAATTGATTGGTGCGCTTCTACTAAGAATCTGAACAGCATGAGAAAGTATGTATCTGAATGTTAATAGTATGCAGACAAGTGGCATTTACATAAAGATCCCCTTTCACTGGATATTTACCTTTGGAAGAGTAGTGTGTGATAGTTTGATTTGGCTTCACAAAAGCAAGTAAAGTATCTCACAATGAGTATAATTTTGTAGTCTAGAGAGTATTTAGTGGACAGATTTTATTAACATAAATTTCAAAATGCTAAGTATCACTCATTACTTAGTCAAAATGTTTACTGAATTCCACTTACTTTTCAAGTTAGGATGGAGCTGAAAGGAAAATATGAAGCTGATACTTTTACTATGTAAAACGAAGACTCACAGCCCTCTTTATCAGTGAACTATTTGAGCTGTGACCACTAGGACATGAAGGTGTTGCTAAGATGTAAAGTAGAGATAGAGACTTTTAGCAAACTACACTTTAGAGGTGTGTAAATCTGACACTTGCTGCAGGTCCAAATCTCAAAAACAATTTGCAAGAGGGCAAATGAAACTATTCCATATAATAACAGAAATCTGTGGTCTTATTAGCAGAAGTTAAAATTTATATTGTAAAGACTATCTAAAATGTTTCAGGTTTTCCTAAAACATGCTGTACTGCATATTCATAAAACACTACACACTTCACAAACTATAAAATATTAACACATGTATATCTGAGATATATAAAAAAAAATTAAACTTCACAAAGACTTATCACCAAGTGCACATGTTTATCTAATTTGAGAAAATGACCATATCAACACTGATACGGTGCAACAGTATGGCAAAAGAAGCCTGATATAGAAGCATGGATGACAGAGCATACCTGGGATCTAGATGGCTCAGTTGTCACCTGCGTATCAAAGGCACAACACAGGCTAAGAAAGATTATTATAGTTTGTGAAAAGGCCAATTACAGGACTACCTTGGAACTCATATTTGTCACAAATGTCTATTACTACTAACAAAATTATTGTTTTCATCCTGAAGAAATTAGTTTAAACTAAAATTGAGGAGTTACCTTTAATCCAGATTGGGGGTTTTTTTGGATTAATACGACCTTTGTAGTCTTCATTATTTTTTGTTGTAGTTCATACAAAACTGGTATAAATACAGTCCTAATATGCTGTATGCAAATTAATGACTCAAGTCACATACTGGGTATATTTTAATAAAATTTATATTTTGTAACATATTACTTTACGATGTCAGTGTCCCTGCACATGGCAGAGGGGTTGGGGGTTTATTTTCCATTCCAACCCCCTAGCATTCTATGACTCTATATTAAGTTTTTGTCAATGAAAAAAAGTCAGCAAATAACCTCACATAACTAAAAACTTTTGCAGTATTACATAGATTACTTTTATGCAAAATTAGTTTGCTCCACCTCATGCAGCCAAAGGTAGCATGACAGGCAACAATCCCTCCTCTTCAAATAGCTTCCAAAAGCAGATGAAAGATGAAGAAACCCAAAGAAAAGGACTTCAAGAACAAAGCAGAATCTGGGGAAAGTTAGATATCTGTGCAGTAAACAAGACCAGTGGTAAACAATGCAAGCTTAGGATGATGATACAAATCCTGTTTAAGCACTGGATGGCACCTCCGGTCTTGAAAGGTATGAAGTATAGGCTGAAAGAGAAGTTCTAGAATCATAAAGTAGTCACTAATGGCTAATTAACAGTCACTGAATAAAAGTACAACCTCAAGCACTGAAAGATTGCTTTTACCTCAAGAAAAGGAGCAGCAGCTAAGCAAGGGAAAATCAAAGGAATTGTTGTGGCCTGGGGAGCTAATCAACAAGAGGATTTGAACCATCTAGAAATTAAACCATTTTATAAAAGAATAAAGTCCAAAACTGTGCCTAGAGAAGGAAAGTGAGATAGTAGAGTAGGAAAAAAATTCCATTTCAGTTCTAGCTTCCCTTGTAGAAAACCTCTGAAATTTCAGTATGTCATCTTGTCAACTAGAAACATCATTGGTAGGCATGATCACCAACACTACAGTATCAACTCCATGGGATTTTATCCTGACATTAAATTTTGGACACTGTGAAGCTGTGAAGAGGTAGTGATTGATAGGTACTAAGAACACATTATAGTGACAAGGGTAAGATAATAGCACAACCAGTGCTGCTAATGACCGTCAGCCCAGTAAAATGGGATTGGATTAATTTTTTATTGTTTTTTGCTGTCACTGCTTCTTAGAGTATTTAAATGAAGTTTAAGAGAAACAATTAAGAAATCATGAAGCAGCACATAGTACAGGGATTCACAGCCATTCCTAATCATCAAATCATTTTCAGCTAAAACGCCATGTTACTCAAAAAAAAAAAAAAAGAGCTGAGGTGTAGAATACACTATGATCCATCCACTGAGAAAAAAAAACATTGAAGAACTATTTAGTATATATGCTCCCATATTTTCTCTTTTACCAAGTATGCACCTCTTTGAAACCCCAAAAATAACTTCTGGGTTGGTTACATCAATGATTTTTACTCGAGCAATATTTGAAATAATGTTCTTACAAATCTAACATGTGATCTAGTCACCATATAAAGAAATAACAGGCAGCAAAAATCAGTTACTCCACAGTCACACTTCAGGTAAGAGTGTTTTGATATTTGGACAGACAGAGGACCTGGTTATGAATTTTTTAGCAGATCAGACATGACTGATTTACAGATTCTTAATGAGAAGACAGCCTTTAAATGAACAAATCATAGCTAGGAAAAAAAAGGGAAAAAGGAAAAAAAAACCAGGTTTTTTTTTCATTGGCTATGTAACTCCAAAAAATCAGAGCTTCATTATGCCTCCAATTAAATACTGTAAGCATAATTTTGGTAAGACTGTCAAAATAATAATAATTTTCATCATTAAAAACCAAAACAAACAACCCCATTTTTCACACATTTGTTGTTGTCCTCCCTGACAAACAAATCTACCACATGTCCTTTCCTTCCCACTCCCAAAATTCAAGTTTTCTAGTAGACCTGAAAATATGTTGCAAAAAGGCACAAGAAACCTTATAACTCATCAATGGCCAATTTATTCAATATCAGGCTCAAGATATTTATAGCTTGAAGTGGTATAACACCATCTTCTACTATCTGCTGTTTAGATCAGCCATTTCAAACTGAACCTTCCATGACTCACAGGAGAAGAAACATCTTTCTGTACATTTGTATGATATCAAAACCCCAAGCTACTTAAAGACAAGTAGAGGACAAGTACTTAGTTCCCTGCCACATCAGCTGACGTGGAAAGGTCCACTGTCAGAGGCCTACATACACATATGTGTATAACACATAAGTCTCCAATGTTGGCACCTGTATTCTGGGAAGATTGAACATGGCATTGTGAAAAACAGGACTTGAGAACAGCTTTAACTTGGACTAAAAGACTATCAATTTTTCATCCAACATACTATCAGTCATACATACTAAGAGAAATCTGAGAGAAATGTCTGAGAGAAATCTTGTGTGAAACATTTCCAACCACGCATAAATACATACACCACTTTTACCCCTTCCTAGTCTTCTGCAGCCTCCTCTATCTTCGGTGAACATTGAAAAGATTGTCACTGGTGGTTTTCTGATTGGGTCTTGAATTGTACTTAGAATTTCTGTGTCCAGAGAGCAGCTGCCTGATTTCCCACAAGAACTCACAACTCAAAACATGGACAGGCTTATAAAAATGAATCAAAGACTTTTGGTCTGAAACATCTCTGAAACTAAGCACACCTACTCTGGCTATTAGTGAAAACTGGAAGAGACAGATAATCATTTATGCCAAAGGTGCCAACCAGGCTTTAAGTAGAGAACTGTTTAACAAGACCTGCTCAGGAAAAGAAAAAGAGAAGCTCATGGCAATTTACACCGTAAGTCGTGTATCATTCTGAAGGACTACAGAAGCTCAGCCTAGGATAAAATACAGGCATACTGAGGACCATCAAACACCTCTTTCAGTAACAGAAAACTCACAGCATCTGGCATCTCTTTTGGTACAAAAGACAATATAGCACCAGTAACTTTTAAAATGCATGGCTGAAGGGGTTTTTGAGGTGTTTCAGTAGGGACCTGTTAAAATAACAATTGACATACTCAAAGAAAAATACCAAGTAATTTAGGAAGAGCTTAGTCTTATAAAAGAACAAAAATGAGTATGTAACCTTAGTTAAAGAAAATGGCTTTGTGATTTGGAAAATGTCTTTTCTCAAGTAACATAAAGTATTTTGAGCATAACTGAACTCACACGTGGTCACACAAGGTTCAATATATTCCAAGGGAAAAATAAAAGGCAGCAATTTGAGTTATTTTATAACTCCAGGCGATTAGGAAAGCTCATTAAAAAAACCCAAAATTTAAACACCTCTTTGCTGAAAACTTTGATCAATGAAAAAGCATTCATCTATTTTTTTTTTCTCATAGCACATTCAGATAATGAAAAAATAGAAGATTTATTTCCAGTAAAATGCTTGGTCAAATGTATTTTCTACATCACTTACCTGTTTTCATTTCTAACAAGCGTTTTTTCTTTTGTTGTCTCTCCAGTTTTTCTTTTTCTGCCTTCTCCTTAGCTATTTTAGCACGTCTCTGTTTTTCTTCTGCTTCCCTTCTCCTCATATTTTCTTTTACTGCTTGCTATGAAAAAATGTAATACAGTTCCATTAAAATGGAAGTCTTAGCAAAAACAAAGCTGAACTTTAAAAACAAAGAAAAAAGCTTTCAAACTGTAACCCCTAACTAACCTTAATTTATCAAATCAAGTAAGTATTTCACATTCCATATTTAGAATATTTCATTCAGAAGAGTAAACATATTCAGAATAAATGCATTAAAAGCATACTAATTGCTCCCAAATGAGGATTATAAATTCAGCAAGAAATGTATCTTAAGAATACACATGTAGGAAGAATTCAAAATATCTAAACCACCTTGTTCTACAAAAATGTATGTTACAATTTGTATTTCTAAAACAATTTCAACATTTTCGTCTTTCTCATGCTGCCACTACACCAAGCAAAACAAGGCTGCCTGTGTAACAGTGTTGCATTTTTCTTATTCTTATCAACATTTGCATTATTTCGCTAGGTTTAAAAATTCTGGTTAATATCTGCACAATATTGTTTATTTAGAATTATAAGCATATACTCTAAAACTTCCAGTGAAGCTAAAACAGAACAATGAGTTTCAGAGTTTTGAAATAAAAACATTTTACATATTCAGACACTAAGCAAAAGAACTCTGTTACATTCAATACATTTTTAACAAAAGTATTTTGGGATTACCTTTTCATTATTTTAACATCAGCTACGTACACTGGTAAACTCTCAGTGCTCTAAGAATCTACATTTGCATAAGTGCACCTATTCTTCATTGCAGAAAGTAGTTTTATTCAGAACAGCTACATAGAACCCTGACTCTGATAATATATTAAAGTGTCCCCTCTTACAAAATGGCAAACATCTTCACAAGGTCTGAGGCAAAAACTGCAATTTTGCAGCTCATTTGTTTTTAGTGGGAAACATCCAGACTGCACTCAGGAAAGAAAACAATGGGCTGCCAAGTATTACATAGTACAGACAAATGGGGATTACAGCAATACTTGCACAGGCACACAGAGACTGTTTGCAGCACCACTGCCATAGAGAGTGACCAAAAGAAGGGGGAAAAAACTATCACATAAAGTTTGTGAAGAAATGCTTGTGTTGGATAACTGAAGAAGAAGAAGCTTTCCATCATGAAAAACGGCAATGGAATGGATTTTTTATACAGAGCAAAACTGTACTTTCACAGTGACTCCTCCAAAGTCACCTCTGTCAAATTTCTTGATTCAGGGAGAAGAGGGTAGATGCTTGCTAATAAATGCTAAAATTTTTGATTAAAATAATTTTGACAAATTATTTGCTGATTTTCAGACTGAGCATTCCATAGAATAAAATACTGGATAAACTACTGGATAAAATTCAAATGGGACTTGCTACTTGACAAGTACAATACTGGCAGAAATTACACACTTTTCTTATAGAGTGACAAAGGAAATTTCTACTTTGCACCTACTTTTCCCCAAAAAAAATATCAGCAGGACTCAGCCTCAGACTTCAGTCATTCAAATGCAGATATGTATTCTTTTTAACCACACTGCACAGGTGGGCCTGACTTAATAGCTTATACCTTCATATACAGTGCAAATTGGATGCTTTGGAGTATCACACCTTGCCCTCAGTCCTTCTCTAACAAGAAACCAATTTTCCACAAATTCCATGTTAAAGCTTGAAATTTCAGGCTGATGATGACTTGAGTACTATTTAAGATGCTTCTCCAGGATACCAGGTACTTCTGTTGTTACATCTCCTTTGAGACATCAGGTAGACAGCTTTCCAAATTCCACTAAATTAATGAAGTATGCATCTCCTTTGACTAAAACACAAGATAACATACTCAAAAAAATATGCCCTAAGGCCAAATTCTATTCAGCATGTCCCATGTGTTTTCAACATGAAATGTAAGTGGAATGCCAAGACCTTGATTTTCCAAACTGGAGGCATTCTTGGGTTCTCTCTTGCAACTTCCAGGGTAATTTCTAATTTTTATTTAAATATTTGCTTCATATAAAGAAAAAACAGAGTCTAGGGTACACTGTTACTGTACCCTAGACTCTGTTGCTCTTCTTCTGGTTCTTGAAGGTATGTCTCTGCTGAAGAGTAACCTAGTGCCAACAGGAGCAAGGGGTTTCTGTACCCTATGATTAGCCTGATGAGCCTAGTCTTGGACAGAAGATCTGTTACCTCAAGGTGTGTTGGCTCCCTCTCCTACAACTGGAGGAAAATTCTAACCATTAGACAATTTCTTCATCATGAAAGCTATCTTTCCCAGGAAAGGAATGAGCTTGTTAGCAGCACCCATGACGCTGTGAAACTACACAGAGAGGTTAACAGGGATATCTGATACCCAAGATGTTCCACTAAGTGTACCAGTAATTTAGCTGTAGAAGCTAAAGCTCTGAAGGCAAGATGCTTCACCCCTTTTTTTGGACCTGGCCAAGTAACTGTACCCTAGATTTGGTGCTCACAGAGTGCAAATAATAGTTGCCACAGCTACCAAATAACACTGAAATACAAAGTGCATATCAAAGTTAGCTATGAAACACAAGTCTAGGGCTCCAGATGTAAACACAGAGATTTTAAAATCTTTTTAATAAATTTTCATTAATTAAGAAAAAAAATATAAGTAGGAAAATACTTCATGTAAATCATCAACTTTGCATGACAACAACTTGACTGAACTGCACTCTCCCATACCTACTGGTGACGAGTCATCTTTTAGTTTGGGCTTCAAAATCACCCAATAATTTTTTAGCACCAAATTTACAAGTCTTCTGAACTAAATTTTCTAAGATAACCATCACCCAATACTAAACAATCGTGAAAATCAGCTCATTTGTCTCATGTTAGGCATCTCAAAAATCTTTTCTGAAAAGTCTCAAAACTGAGCAGCTACTCAAGATTTTGATTAGTGTCATTGAATGATAGGAGGTTTCATGCCTTATCTACACTTCTTTTTCTTATAGCCTTCAAACTGCTCTGCAAGACAAAATTATTAATTTTCCTCAAGGTTTCTTCTATCATGCTCATCAATAATACCTAACTGTTTTGAAGCGGTAATTAATCTATCTTTATGAAACTGCTGTGAAGTAGAGGCTAGAATCAGTGCTAATTTTAAAGACACAAAGAAGAAATATGAGAAAATTAATGCAAAGCACAACCACTTTCTTAGAGCCTTCAACTCAACATGAACCTAAGCTTTTAAAATTCCACAACACTTGCATCGGAGGTACGGTTTAAACATCAGAAATTAAAGTAATGTACCTGTTTTATAATATTTATTAATTCTGAAATCAGACTACTGAGCTTCATATTAGGCACTGATAAAGTTAGGAAAACACAATCAATGCCCCCATTCCCAAAAATCTGACATATGTAACTTGTCAAGCACAATTATTGCAATTGAATAGTATCTTGGTTTTTAGTTGTGAAACTCTGAAGCAGCAGAGGCTTAGTAATCATTACATGTTCCAAATGGTTGCTAAATACTGGTTCCAGTTTAAGAGCGTTCCTCAAAACTGGTGGATATGAATTATATGAATTTCAAACTGTTTTTCAATACCTGTGAAAGAAGTAATTTTTTCCACCTATATCTTCAGACTGTTTGAAATCATTAAAAAACCACACTATCCAAGTAAAACCAAACAAGACTGGGAAACATGCAAGCAACCTAAATATATGTGTTGCAATGCTAAGTTGTAATGACTAGGCTGCAATGAGGAGTAGGTGGCAGAATGACTAAGTGAATCTTTCAATCTTTCTTTTGATCTATAGGCATTAGCTGGATCTTCCACCAGATTTTGTCATGAAACTCATGCTCGTACAATATTCCTGCAGGAGCGTAGTCAGTAAATTAAGCTATGTAATAAGAAGCCAGATGTGACACAAATCAGCTTATTATCCAAACTCATACATATAGATAAGGCTACAAAATATAAATTCTAAGAAACATTAGATATAAAATAAACATATTGTACCATGAACATCATCCTGAAGTTGTTTAAGTCCGTTAAAAACTCTTCCACCGAAACTTTCTTCAGGTCAATGGCAAAATACCCCATCACATTCTGATAGAGTTTTTCCATGTTCTCGTGCATCCGTGAAAGTTTCTGAAAATCTTCTTTGGCATGAACTAGGAAGCTGTACACTGCTGTTAAGGCTTCAAGAATACTCAGTGAATCCAATCAAAAACACTGCTTTCATTTAACATTGATTTGTATGTCGTACCAATTTCTTATTTCCTCAAATAAGCACCAAAAGAATTCCTTTCATGTTGTACATGCTTCCTGGTATTTGCTGTGTATACTAAGCCTATGAATAAATTCAGGGACATTCATCAAAATACCTAACCACTTTAAATATAAAGATTATTCAATTACTACATAATTTCTTATGAAATGAAATGTATGTAACTAATCTAACTTCAAGCACCCATGTACTTTATTTAGTATCATTGTCTTCTTATTGAAGCTAAATGCTTAGGCATATAAATTACAATATCCTAGGAATTTAGGTACAGATACCAATAATTTACCTGAATATTTTATCAATAAATACTACAGTCCCTAATAAAATTAGAGTAAAAACAGAAATATTGATAAACAGTATTAAAAGTAAAAATCATGAAAGATAAAAAGCTTCATTGTAACAGCAATGCATTTATGTCTGTTCCTGAAGGCCGCATTAGGTATTTATGCTTTTTCTAAGGCTATTTGCAATGTCAACACAACTTAATTAAATTAGAGGTGAAAACAATAAAACTACTTCTATAAAAGATAAGCAATTTATAAACAGCATCAAAATATTGCATATAAAATAAAAACACCTATGTTTATTCAGGACTTCCAATAACGTAGCTTTCCAAAGAAGCTCAAAGACAAAATATTCTACACAGCCATTTCTCTATGTTGGGCAACTTCAGGAAGTGTGTACTTTAATGGAAGGGTAGATAAACAAATATTTATGTTCCATTATCTTTCTGCTGCAGTGAATGCTACAAAAGACAAGAAACAGCCATTTTATTTTTACTCTAAATTGCCCACCTCTACTGCAAAAGAGAATTTACTGTGTTTGCACACTTTCTACTACAGAATAAATACACTATGGTTACTATATAAAGTGCAGAATTTTTATTCAAGCGCATGAAAATCTAGACCAACAGAATAGCACAGAACCTGGCATTTTTTCTTAATGATCTCATACCACCGGCCTCAGTCCATCGTCCCAGGCTGCACAGATCCCTCTGCAGAGCCTTCCCACCTCCAGCAGATCAACAGTCCCACCCAATTTGGTGTTGTTAGCAAACTTGCTTGAGGGTGAGCTCAAGCCTGTAGAGCAGATCATCAATAAAGATGTTGAACAGGACTGGCCCCAATACCAAGTCCTGGGGAACTCCACTAGTGACCAGTACATATTAATGTTTTACAGCTGGATGACTGTTTTCATTCTTCAGGTTTTTTGCAATGCACTCCTTTTTTAGTTTAATTTTGTTTAGAAGCTGAATTCCATTTCAGTTGCACTATTAAGGGTCCTTCTGGTTTGTTAAGGTTGCTTTAAAAATAACAAGTACGAAGTTCCTGGGGGTTTTTTTTGTGATTTAGAATCCAGGCCAGAAATTCACACAATAGTGATCTCAGATATGTGCAGGAAGGGAGAAATAATGCACTTTCACAATATTCTAGTTAGTCACTAATGGCTACTAGCTGTTTATGTAAGTGCAGAACAACCTCCCCTACGACAGTCTTGTGAAAAAGGACTAACTAAAGTCAGGATTCAAGAATTTTAAAAGATACATCTTCCATCACCCATCAACCACCTAATTTCAGTCTTTCTCAATGTGGCTCTTTTGCCTGTACAAGCTTCTTTTCATGCTTTTAGTAACTTCACAAGATGCAGCTCGTAAGCAGCTCCAGACTGCCTGTGCTGACTGGCTGGCAACAGATCAAAGAGAACTGATGCTGCCAGCCCTCTTTTCTTCTACATCAATTTGAATCTCCTTTACTCAGCTCCCAAGATGAGCATAGCGCACAGGAAACTGATCTTTACACTTGAGATTCTTAAAAAATTATTCAGACTCTTAAAAAGCTATTGGTACAAAAGCAAAGAAAGTTGATGAGAGGTTTGTCTATAAAGGCTGCCCAAGGACTAAATAAAAAAGCATCATGTGAAACAAGACATGACAAAACAAGCTAAGACCATCAAAAGAAATGTCACCAGTTCACGAAAACACAAACAAACCAAAACAACAAAAAAGAGTGAAACTAGAAAAAATAATTCCTACATCTAGTTAAATTTTGATCCTAAAATTTAGGATACTTATTATTTGTGATTCTTTGACTATTAACGGTTCTTATGAAAAATTGTATGTAGTTTTTTGCAATTGTGAGGGTGTTTATTTCCACAGAGTGAAGGGTAAAGGAAAAATAAATAAATTAGTTTTGCTGCCTCTCTACATAAATGCCAGATATTAAACACTCCAGTATTTTTCATTTTCTAGGAAGCAAAACAAAAAAAGCGTTGAAATTATCAGTCAAATATAGACTTCATCTTGTAAATTACAAAAAATATCCTGAAAAGAAAACCTGGGGAGTGGAGGAAGTGAGAGAAAATTTCTGTGCTATTCTTCAAGACACAGCCAAAATTACAGCTATGTTAATAGAGTCCATACAAGATGGTTGATTTTTTACTGTTGAAAACTGACTCCCCTTGAATATCTGATGCATAATTTTAAACACAAAATAACAGTATTCTGGCAGGATGTTTTGCTATCTAATACTTCAATGCCAGACATGATGAATCCTGAGATTTTCATTTTCCATCTGGTGCATTATGGGATACCTCTAAGCTCTTGGCATTCTACTGAGACTGTGCTTCAATTTAGGTACTTTTAATAACTCCTCTTCCTTTTCTCCTTAAATATGGCTTTTGTTAGCCAACTCTAGCTAAACTGGAAACAACAGGGAATACTACTGAGTACAGCAATCCCAACTGTAATTATCATGAACAGGTTGATACATACACATTATCAACTACACAATTCATTGGTTTTGGATGAATGAAGACAGAAGTACAGCTGAGCTGCAACACAGGTGGGAAGAAAAAAAAATCAAGTAGTTTGGTATTTGTTAACTTTTTCTGAAATGGCTTTACTTCATGGACTGCCTTTTTGGAATCACTGGACTACAGATCATTCTGCTAATTAATGTATGTTTGGTCTTACATATTCTGGCAGGTCTTTTCACATTGAATTGCTCGTCAATAATTTATATGGATTTTAATACATTGTGTATATAAAATACTAACATAGTGCAGCATATCAAGCTAAGTAAAAACAGCTGTTACCCTAGAAAAGATGATGAATAACTTTAATCTCTACTAAACACTTTCTTAAAAGACGCCAGTATTCACCCCTTGTATTTTAGAAGAATCTTCAAAAGGGAACTGAGACTGCCACTATACTGGATGACAACAGCCTCCACAAAACATGGCAAACTTTTTGAAGACTGGCGCAAAACACTTTGTGGTCACTTCAAACCATTTCAACAAATGATTTTCTACTAAAAGCAAACAGTGTGAATGCTGTAGGACTGTTAAGGATTTCTCACATTTTGGGAAAATAATTGCAATTATCTGAAAAATACGTGTCAGAGAGAATTCTTTTTATATGCATATACCAAGGTTCAAGAGAAAAATTTGCATCTGAAAATAATAGTTCAAGAAGCATAGAAATGTTTCAATTTTTAAATCAGTACCTTCTGAAGAGTACTTGTCAAATAATACCTTCTCTTTGATTCACTCCTACTTATCTCTAGGTTATAATACTAAAACAAATTGGCAGGTATTTGTATCAAACAAAGCTGCTGCATCCACTGTGTATGTATCACACATATTACAAGTAAAACCATTGCTAGCTATAATATATGCCTTAAGTCCAGAGCAGATATTAAAAGAATTATAGACTTAAATTAAATTTACATTGGTTGCCAAAGCCCTATCTCATTACCTGTCCACACAGTTGACATCTTGACCTTCTACCAAAGAGCAACACACAACATTTTTTTACCTGAAGAGTTTAGGTTCTGTAATCCACAAATCTGTAGTCCTTAGGATGCAAGGACATCTTACAGATTCATTTATGTTGCACGGGGGAACTTCAAACTATGAGGTCAATTAAGTAACCAAGAGTTTGGAGGCAGCAAGTCTCTTCCTGCAGCTGAAATGGGTTTCTTTTACCTCATTTGGTAGAGAAGGCTCTGACTCATTTAAGTGCTGTTTCTTCCTCCCCTTTCTGCAATGTCAACAAATCAAATTAAATGGCAAAGGAACAGCTAATTGATCAAAATAAAGGATTTTTTTCCTAGCTGAAAAGCAGCAATCAGCTGATTGTCTATCAAGTATTAGTTCCATAAGTTTCTGTAAAAGAACACCATCAACACCACTTTTATCAGTAAGCTCAAACTTTCTCAGCTGCTGCTTGGAAAATCAGAAGATGGAAGCTGTTCTGATAAACAGCATGTTGACTAAATCACTTAATTAAACTTTTAATATGCAATTTAAATACTCTTCCTAAACCCACTAAATTTTTATTTTGAACGTACAAATGTATTTTGTTCACTGTGCTTTTTATGGAACATTTCACTCGATGGATTTAATACGTTAGATCGATATCAATTCAATATTCTTTGACTTTCCTAATTAAAGGAAACAGAAGAATTGAGATAATAACTATTTCTTTTCAGCTAGCATACACACGATGGCTCACAAATTAACGCAATCTAATATATAGGAGAAATATTCATAATTACAGACTTTGTCAATAAACGAGTGAACCAACTGTGCATGTCTCTGACTTCCCAAAGAAACAAGAATGCTAATCAGTTCATTAGGGGGCCTTGGGTTGTGATATTTAGCGACAGGATGTAATGGCCTGCTTGTCCATGGAGCTTAATTGTACTCAGGATGAAAAATTATTTTCTACAAAGCACTATACTTCTTTTTTAAGACTTCCTGCTGGTTTCTTTTTATGAGCTGCATGCTTTTCAAGACATCATCACCATTCAAATTTCCTTGTCATAGGAATAAAAGTAAAAACAGGTCCAGGTTCCATCATGCTGCGCAGGATTATCTAACCTTTACATCAAACCTTTTCTGCTTCGTAATTTATTGAAGTTCCTGTTTTCCTAAAAGTGAGCTGGTTTAATTAGTGTGTTCACAGACATGACTAGAAACCATAGGCAATTATGCTGTTTAGAAATTGCTGTCTGTCTGCTGGGTCAGGTAGTAGGTGAGGGTAAACTGCTTCTGTTTATAATATTTACTATTCAAAATATTGTATTTGAATAGTCTAATACAATGAAATATGTAGTATGGCTGGTGTAAGGGCTTAAAGAGCACAGTTGCCTGTCTCAAGCACCCTTCAGGCCACAGAAGAACATTACCATGAGATAAGCACAGAGAGAGTGACAGGATGTTTCTAACCTGGCAGAGGTGAGATCTGGGTAGCAAATCCTGGTCAATGCATCCAGACAACAATTCCCTCTGTGGAAATCTGTGTAAAGAATCAACTGCAAACACAAATATCACTGGTCAAACAAAGATCATCCCAAGTTATGGGATAGACGGGCAACAGTGACTACTGAAGAATATGCCTCCAAATATGAGGGACTAGAAATTAAAACACTGTGATAGGAACTTTAGATAAGATAAAGGTGATACTGTTGTTGGGGTGCTATCGCAGACCTAGGGGAAGGTAACAAAGCTGGAGGTGAAGAATAGATCACTGACAATGGACACAAAGAATATAGAATTTCTAGTCCAGAAGGAAAGCCAATTCAGTAACTGTGCTGAAATCAGCTCCAGCTGGGTAGAAGGTAATTCTGGCAGGGAAGATCACAACCCACTGAACAAAAATGAAGAGAAAGACTGAGCACAGGACTAACAGTAAGAGAGGTGTGTAGCCAGTGAGCATTAATTTATTTGTTTGCTAAACTATATAAATAGTGAAAAGCTTTGAACCACCTCAGGACATACCATCACCAAGAAGCCTAAGGTGAAGAAAGACTAACAGCATACCATTGGATCCACAAGTGGGGACTATCTCTTGCTTCAGATGTCTCTTCCTTTCCCCCTACCCAGCCCCATTTACTGTTAAATAAAATGTGTATTATTGACTTCATCATATGGTCTCAGGACTAATCAGATCTTAAGAGTTGGTTTTACCTGTACTGGTTTATTCTAAGACCAAATATTTATTTTGCCAGTTTCTGACAGCAGTCAATACCCAACAATTAGGGAAAACAAGGAGGAAACAAAACTTGGCAAATGTAGCATGACAATTCAAGTGATGTAGTATTCAGTTTCTAGCAATCTGTATGTTAGTCATTCTTCTGAACTAAAGCTGCCTCTAGGCTACTGTTTAGCCACCTATCTAGGCCTTATATGAAATTCATTCATATTTTCAATTTAATTGTCTGCTGTCCATGAAAACATTTCTGTTAGTGTGTTGTAACCGGCTGGACAGTATTTCACATGAGATGAACCCATGGTTATTTAAAGACACAAAGAATATATTCCTCTCTTTCCTTCTGCATGAGACACAAAATTACTAGTATTTTTACTGTATTTTCTTAACTTTTTTGATTTTCCATCATCAGAGTATTACTCTATTAAAACATTCCTTCTTTATAACCTATTGCTAGTTGCTGCTCATTGCCACCATTCTCTGCCACATCAGTAGATACATACTCCACTTTTTGAGATGTAGTAATGGAAGAACTGATGATGTAAGAGTCTTGCTGGTTTTTACAGTATCTTGCTGTTTATGTTTTCTCCTTGTTCTCAACTGGATTTGTTCCCGATTGTCCTAATAGAGTGTTTCTCCTTCAGATCTATCAGTCTATAATCACTGAAGTTCACTTGTTGCTTTGTCAGCAGCTATCAGCATCTCCCTTTGATGTAAGGATTTTTTTTTCAAACATATTAATTAAAAAAAAAGTAATGAAACCACTTTTTAACCTAAGAAAATTCTTTCCTTATAAGTCTTTGTGAAAACACCTTGTTGAAACGTGAATGGAAATTCAGTTATGTTCTATTGACTTCTTACCTTTATCTGCATGCTGCAACAGACCTGCAAAGGATGGTTTCTCCTAACAAAATACACAGTGACTCTCTTCCATCACATTTTACTTCCAGTTAATACATGTCCATTTCATAATTAGTCTTCATCAGTTTTCTTGGTAGCAAAGCCTGACTTGAAAATCCTCCTCGTAGCCCTTCTAAAAAACTTGTGGGCTTCTTTTCAGCTTTGACCTGATCTCATGAAAGGTGTTCTGCCCACAGCAGAGAGGTTGAAACCAGATGATCCTTGAGATTCCTTCCAACCCAAATTATTCTACAAATCCTCAGTTGCATGAGAAAATTTCTGCCTCCAGCTAGCTTAGTGCATGTAAGAGTCTGTAGTCCATTAAGTTTATATTTGAGTTAATTTTGAATTTTGTTCAAGTGTTTTGTGACCACTGTTTACTCCTGGGGATTTATTGCTACTTATTTTATGTTAAGAAAAAGAATTCTACTGATTCCTTTAACAACATCCTTCCATCTAAAATATTACACAGTAGGGTGAACTGAAATTCTCCCTAGAGAAAACTGATGCAAAGAACAAATTTAACTTCATGGCTATGACTTATCTTCTTGACAGACATTGATAATCCTCATCTTCTCTAGCAGGATTAGAGATTTTGAGATGCCTGAAAAAGAGAATTGTAGATCCTCCTTTGCATTTCCTAAGATGATCACTATCCTTTTTAAGCAATCAGTAATCTGCTCCAATGGTGTTCATATATGGGGAGGGAATTTCAATCCTGGAAAAAGTTTATGCTTCTTATCAACAAGGTCTACCTGCTTACTCTGTCTTAAATACAACTGATAACTTTTTATCACAGTATTCCACTCACTTCTGCCAGGAAGTTTCATAAATGCCCAAAATGTTAGTAACACAAAGGGAAATGAGGCATCCTACATAATTATTTTCGGATATTAGATGTTTGGTATTAGCATATAATGTACATAAACTACATCTTTATTTATCCACTTTTCTTTTGCTCTCCTTAGATTTTTGGGAGGATGCACTCATTCTCAACTGAATTTTGCTAATTTAATTCTTATCTTTTTTTACAAATACATACCCAAGGAAAGCTGTATACTAACTGTTCCTTCAAAATTTAGTCATTAGGAAAAAAAAAAAGTTAGAAGGTATTTGAAGAGCCTGCATCATGACTATTTCAGATTAGGTGATTGTTGTAGGTCCTTTCCAACTGAAATAGTCTATTATATTTTAACAGATAAAGAAGGGTCTGTCCTTTTTTCATAGTTTAGATTTTTTAACAAGTGCTTCTCATTCCTAACTTGTTAGACTACATATAATTTTCCAAACAAAGTATAGACTTTTTAAGTCCTAGCAATATTCTCCAAAATCTCTCATGGATATATTTTCCTCTAACTTCCTAGCAATATTTTATCTCTTGCCTTCAGGACCCATCTCCTAGTTCTCCTATCATGCTGTCAGTTTCTTCAGGATCAAACTGATGCTTCATACTATAGAGACACCTTGCTAGTGGGCTGCAACATATCTCCCAAAACCACATTGAGCTGGGAAGAAAAGGCATCACCACCAACATTAAACAGAACAAACTCAACAACAAAATATCCAACCTTACAAAATATTAGTAATGACACTGGAAGGTTAAGATAACCCACAGCAGCCACAGAAGGCCTGAAGCTAAGTTGCAAACACTTGGGTGCAGTGCATCTAACAAAGACAGAACTGGCCCTCACACAGGAAGAGCCAAGTGCACCCACCTGGCCTCGGGGTCATTTGCCAAGCTTGTGTAATAGGATGAGATGAATAAAGAGGACTGTGTCCTGAGTCCTCCAGCCTTGGTACATAACAAAGCAGTCTTCCAGCTAGGCAACAACCTAACTATGCCTGCAGAGCAAATTTCAACCTGTCTGCTCGTATTTCTGCTTCCAGATTCGTTTTGGTGCCAAGCATATATGGCCAACATTTGCTAGAGAGGTTTAAGTAAAAGAATTTATTTTTTTTCCCAGTTTAATTAATTATCTTCATGTCACAAGGTGTTCTTATGAAAGACAGGCAGTGAAGTTGGCTGCATGATTTGGAACAAATAGTGAGAAAAAGAATTTTGGCAAAAATAACACCAGAAAACAGTTTTCATGAGCTATGAATCTCATTTCTGAAATAACAGAAATTTTCTGGTTCTGTGGTTGCATGTACAAAAACATTTACAATGGTAATGCATACACTAGAAAAAAAAGAGACACAGGGTGACAGACATATTTTTCTAAGAGACTCTGACATAAAAATACCATGTAACACTAGAGTGCTTAACATTCCTATTATAACTTCTCTTTACTAAGTTAAGAAACTCATATACTGTCAGTAAGCATTTTCCCTCATTCATTCCACTTCAGGGGAATCCTTTAATTGGACTGTTCATATATGTAGTTTTTGAGAGGAAAAATAAGTCATATTTTTCAAAAATACATGGAACAAACTAAACAGAAGTTATGCAAATAAATTTAAAATTTAAAGCAATGCAGTAAAATTACTTAGGGATTTTGGATTTGCAGAGTGCCTCAAAGGATATTGACATTTTCGCTACAAACTTATCGTGCTTATCTTCAGGAACTGGAAAAGTCTGCAAATCCTTCTCAAGCTGTTGAAGCTGCCTCTCCATATGCTTGAGGCTCTTCTCCAGGTTTTCTGCTGAGACTAAAACACAGAACATACATTCTGTTAACACACTAAATAAAAACCATTGTTTCCAAAATGCAAGAGTTAAAACCTTACCCAAGTCAGCATGTTACATTGTTAATTCTGAAATAAAAGCACACTGAACAAATTAGAATGCAAGATGAGGAGGTCGCTCTACAGTGTTCAGCTCTCTCCTCTTACACAGATTCCTTATTCTCACTAGATGTATGCTGTTTGAAAGCTGTATTTTCATCTGTTTTTATGCCCGAGGTTTTGCATTCCAATCAACACTGTTTTAGGGAAACTGAGATATACATATGCCAGTCTGTCTCCTCTGATTAACCAAAGTACAAGTTTTCAAGATATTCTAAGAAACCACAAAGCTTTTCTCCATCTCATTCTGTTAAAACAGAAAATACAAACATTTTTATGAATGACCATAAAGAAAATCAGATTCTCAAACACATGGGCTATTAAACACCTATGCATAAAACCTAAACCTCAGTTCTCTAGTTTAAAAGCACTATGTACAGTAAAAAACACAACAGAATTTTTTGGAGCAAAAGTGCTGGCCAAGCATTTGAGAAGATACAACAAAGCAACACAGGGACTTAGGAAAAAGAAAGGAGTGGAGCTGAAACATCAGGGATTTATAGAAGGACATATGACAGAAGGATGAAGAAAAAGTGCAAATTTTCTTTGCCAGGAAAAGAGAGATACAACTTTCATCTATTTGAAGCATTGCATGTAAAGTTGAATGCTTTATCTGTAAACAGTTGATTGAAATATCAAGGTGACCAGAGTAATCTTAGGATGATTAACAAGTGTTCTTTCTTAGATCTATATTATTGCCATCGGTTAAAACTTATTTTCAATTATTTATGAAGGCAACCAAGCATTTATTCAAGTTTCATAGGAGCAAGATATAAAGATGTAAGAACACACTGTGAATTCTAGTCCAAAGACTTTTTTTTTTCTTTTTAATGACTTATTTCGTTCATAATATAGCGTAAATATCTGTAAAGGTATAGTTATCTTCATCTTAAAAAAAACACCTCCTCCAGGAACAAACCTCCTCCAGACTTTCTCCTTGGAGAAAGTCTGTATCCCTATGATGTTACTACACTGTGTAGTGGATACCTAATTTCATCCACCAAATAGTTATGTGAGAGAAAATATAAAATACATAGAATAAACACATCCTTCTCTGAAAAAAGCCTGACAGAATCCCCAAATTACCACAGTAAAATGCTGCATAGCAACTACAATCCCATTCATAGCAGAAAGGTTAAGACAACTATAAAATGATCCATTGCAATGTGACAAATTGCTTTATAATCACCATTTTAAAAAGCCTCTGGTTACTTAAAAAATAGTTTTTCAATTGTATCTTAGACTTGCACGTTTTGACTCGGCAATTGGTAAGCCAAAATCACCCCCAGTTAGGTCAGTTGGCTTCCGTAGTTAAAAAATTGTTTTGTTTGGGGAGCACAGCTAAAATTAGAAGCTGACAATGTTGACTAAGACATGTTTCAGTCTTCACCAGCCCCAGAAACAAACCTGATTTTAATAGAAAGTCATACTTCTGCTGTCATGAGAAGCATCTGAGGGTTAGGCACACACCATTTTATGTCATTGATGCCAAGAAACACAGAAAACAACAACTTGTGCCTAATCTAACTATTGCTTGGACTCTTCACAAGACCGTTTATCTTGCATAAAGAGTTCATAGTATAAATTAATGTGACATACACACATAGTACGTATAGTATATAATATCAAAATTATGAGTGCTGGCAAGGAACACCAATTTAAAAACCTTACAAAAGTCCAACACACCAAAAAATCCTCTACACCAGTTGCAGGTAGCAGCTGAGTGACAGCTACACTCTTTTATCCAGATGAGAAACTCAGCAAAATAACTCAGTGCCTAGAGCTGATTAACACATTCTATACAAGAGATTTGCAAGCTCTTGCTTCCAGCAAAGCCAGTTTTTCACTCTAGTTCTTCAGGTTTTTGACATTGAACATTTACATGTTTGATCAAGAATCTTTATATCTCTATTTTGTCCTGAAGATGTTTTTTGCCTCTGTCATGATCTAAGGTTGTTCCTGAACTTAAGATTTCAGCATGCCTTTGATTTCAGCAGTGTATATTAGATATATTTTCCTTTAAGACTATATTTCTGATGATAGCCTCAAATTAAGGCTAGTTCACAATATGCTGCTATTAAGTTTGGTACCATTGTCTTTGCAGCTTTCAAATTAGTGAAAACATTAAAAAAAACCAAAACAAACCTGTAAATATAACCAGCTCTTCCAAAAAAGACCATATAAAATAATTGCCAATCTTTTCTTGTGTGACTCTGAAAGCCATGGTATAAAATGTGAAGGGACATAGAAGAATGGCAGAAAATGAAAAAAAAAACCCCTCCTTAACTTTAACCCCTAATCCTGGAAGGATTCAGAAATAAACCCAAACCAAACTGAAGTACACAACTCAAATGCTAGTTAAAAAACAAAGTCAAACCCTGGGGTTCTGAATGTCAGTGAGCCCACAAAGCCAAGTTGTTTGCTGAATACAATGCATGTGTGCCTAAACAATCTCCTACTTACACCTGCTCATACCCCCCAAGCTCTCACAGTCCTCTTCCAGAATGGCTCCTGCTATTTTTGTAAGCAATAATTAGATTTCCCACCATCTGTTTTTCATGGTTAAAACAACTTCGTTCTTAGGGCTTCTGAATCTGGTTTTCTAATATCACAATTATACCAGAAGCCTCTTCACCTGCTTCTGTTTTCAAATATTTCTGCAGCATTTCAGGTGATGACTCACCAGCCCTTTAATTCTTGCATTACAATTTCTCCAGTTATTCTGGGAATACCTTATCTGATTAACTTACAATAAAATATCCTCTTTTTTTTTTGACCAAAGCCCTTATTACAGTATCAAAAATGCATGATCTTGTACTTCATGCTATTGATTTTCATTTCTTTTATTCTGCTTCCTCAGGATCACTCAGTGATGACAACCTGATTCTCCTCTCATCTGGCAAACTATCTAACCCTGTGTTAGACATGCTCATTGGTGCAATATCACAATTTTTTTTTAACCATGTTCCTTTTAAGACAGTCTTTTGTTTCTTGTCATTTTTATTCTAATGAATATTCTCCCATTGTACATAATATCAAGTGCTTTACTAAAGTGAACAGAGATTTTATGGGATTGAAAAAAATAAATTAAAAGCTACCAATAAATTCATTTTTATTTCATGCTACTCTCATTAACCTCTCTCTGCGTTGGATTATTCTTTCCTTTATAAATCTTCATATCGATAAAGTCAGATAAAGAGACATGAAATTGCTCAAATCATTATTTTTCGGATTCTTAAATAATCTGTAGTAGCAAAAACATTACTATAGCCACAACAAAACTTGATAAAAAATGTACTTACTAAACTTCTAGTTTCATCTCAATTATCTCAGGATGCAGAATATGAAACTGGTATTTACAGTATGAAAATACAGCACTCTGAATTTTTTTCTTTCAAAAAATTTCTATGAAGGATTTTCACTCCCATCTCTCCCATCCCCAGATCATTATTCTTGCTTAAAAATAAAACAATATTTAATCTAGCTTTGAAACCATACCTGTTTAATCTTAAATAGCAGAAGTAATTCCCCAAAGTGAAGCAATACTTGCATGGTCTCTCATTTTTATTGCTGCAAACCTTTTGCTACTTTTTGCATCAGTCAGTATTTCAGACATCATGCCCACACTCTATGACAATTTGCTTGGACGTTGCCATCTCCTAATCATGATTTTCATCCTCTTGTCTACCAGTATTTTGCTTCCCTTGTGCTATTATGGCCCCTTTATTCTAAGAGAGTGACAGTGACAAACTGACCTCTAGCCTGATACAAAAAATTATACCATATTATTTAAAAATATTCTGGAAATGTACTATTAGTTTTGCCAAGTGAAAATCACACTGGACTGACTAAGTTACTGAAAAATTCTCCAAAATTGTCATCATATTATAAATGCGGGATTGAAAAGAAAACTTAAATGACAAAACATAAAAAAAATCCTCACCCATATTTTCAGGTGGATTTAGAACAACTAACAAAGAAATATTGCAGAGGAAAAGTATTGAGTGTTTCTGTGAACACCAGTAAAGGTCTGAAATATCCATTAAAAGTAGCAAAAGATCTACTTGGATATACTCAGTGTCACATGGCACTGAAAATATAAAAATTATACTTTTTTTCTCAAAAAATAATGACTTCCCTTGTCTCTACAGCCACTTTCTGGCTTTCTTGCCTTTTCTCTCCCCTTTCTTCTTTGTGTGTGTGTGCCTAAGGTGCATACAACACTCTTTTTGAGATCTTTTTTTTTCCCAAAGCTCTGACAATGCCACTGGCTCTTTAGCACTCAGACTTTCCCTTCTGCAGCCAGAGTAGATGTTAGCTTCACACACGAAAAAAAACACCTAAGTAGGATTTTAGTCTCCTATTTTTAATTCAAATACAAGCATGCCAGTGTAGTGTAACTGGTAAACAATGTGGAAGCATTTGTGTGCCCAGTTCACCAGCACTATCATCAGTAGTATTAGGCTCAGATCTTACAGCAACTATGCCCTATACTACCTCCACAAGAACCCTGGCCTGCTGGACTTGTTATAAACTTCAAAAGCCTCCTGGGAGAAATGCAGTCTGACACCACATCTTTTTTTTTAATGGTCAGTTTAAGCTCAGAAAGTCTTAATATGGGAAAGAGCTGAAAACAGAAACAACTGAATGACAATTCACTGATTGTCAGCTATTCATCCCTGAGCTGCTACTGAAAGAAAGAAGCAGCTGCTAAGGCAAGCAGGGAAAAATGGCCAAGCAACAGGATGTGGCACCAGCCCTGAGCACAGGGACCAAGGTCCCCCAGTGTTACACAGCACACAGTGATATGGTACAGTGGTGGACCACGATCTGTCAAGAGACAAAACCATCTTATAACAGAAGAAATTAATTTCAGAGGAGGGAGCACAAAGAAAACCCTTGCATCAGTGGCAGCTTCCCTTGCTGAAGAATTCTTGAGCCTCACCACCTGCTTCCTGGGCACCACAAAGTGCTCAGCTGACTGCAGTGTGTTGTATACTTGCAGATAATTTATGGTAAGATTGTTAATAACTAACTGTTTTGAATATGGAGTGAGAGTGGTTAATAATGATTCCAAATGTACTATTAGCATGGAATGGCAATGACTATCAGTCCAGTAGAGTTAAAAATAAAAGTTTAAAAGTGGCCACATTTATCAATCTTCTATCCAATATTGTCACTCCAACATCAAACTCCCTGAGGTATATAGGTTGCAAGACACACAAGTCTACATGTACATCTAAATGCAACTTCAGCACCCTCCTACTCATCAAAATTAAGCTTTCTCACTTTTAAGGGTCCATACATCTGCACAATGCATTCAACTTTTTTAATTGCCTTTTTCACCATTTTAAGGTACCTCTTGCAATCGATTTCTGCATAACCCATTTGATATTTTTTGTATTTTAGCAGATATCCACATTTTTTCCCTACAGAGTATGTAACCCTGATGGCCTGAAAACAAGAGCCTGTGAATTTGTGACCCAAATCAAAACCCAAGAAATGCATAGAATAAATATACTATTTTGTTATCATTACCTCAGAAATTCTCTAGTAAGAAAAACACCCTTTCCTTATGATGTTTAGAATTCTTACGGCAGATATATTACTATTTTTCTCTCATGCTGCCCTGAGTCCTTAAGTTTTATAGGTGGAGGTGCCCTATTTTTCATTGATATAGTTTAAACTTCACATTTTTAATTTTTTAATTGAAAAAGCTTTTAATTTAATTCTAATTTCAAAAGCTTTTTTAATTTTGAAGTGAAATTAATTGTCTATAAAAAAAAAAAGAAGTTTCAAAAAAGAGAAAAAGGATATGTTACTTGTAAAGCTGTGATGAGTAAATGTCTTTTGGAGAAAGGAAAATCCGCAGCTTTACAGTGTTAGTACAATATGAAAGACTCAATACACTGTTACCTGTAAGGTCTGAGTAAATTAGAGTCAATCAAGTAAAACTGCAGCCTGCATAAATGCAATATAAAACTTCATAATACCATAAAATAAGAATTAGTAAATTGTACTGAATTACCAAAATATTTCTTGTGTGGAATACTAACAGAAAAGCAGGGAAGTAATTATGGTTAAAAGAAAGGACAGCTTTAATTATAGAAATCTTCAGGAACTGTCATATCTGTAAGCTCATTAGCTGCAATGAAAGTTCCTCCTGCTGATCTAAGAGCACTTAAAAAACAGGATTTGTTACACTTCAAAGTAAAAAAGGTATCTTTAATTCATGTACTGTAACAGTGAATTAAATCTTCTAGTATTACAGAAGTAAAAACTAAAACTTTAGCATACAATGGAAAGAAACCAAAACCACAAATTAAATACCTTAAATACCCTGAAGCAAACTTCAATTGCACAGGTCATAGGTCCCCTACTGTTTGCCTCTCAAAATTAGATTTTAAAAAATATTTTTCCTGCAACAATTATTTACATACTGTCAATATTTACTAATTTATAAAATACAATAGTGTCGCCATTAACTTGGTGCAGTCACTTGACACTGCTCTTGAAGTCTTACAAGCCATTTTAACACTGTATGATCACTGGACAATGTTTAATGAAATTAAAGAAGCATTAATGTTTCTTCTGGAAAGTATAAAAAGTAAACGAGTTGCTGAACAGTGTAATGTTCTAATGTTCACCATTTTGCATAGGAAATAACTTGAAAGAGAAGTTTTAAGAATGAGCAAGCATAAACCAAAAAAATCCAAGGCATGCTACAAATAGGCTGGCTGACACAATGACAGTCATGTCAAGGAAGAATTCTACAAAAAAGCTTCTTTAAGACACTTGTTTTGAGAAACATGTGGAAGACTCAACAATGACTCAAAGATGATTGAGCCAAAACTAACAAGTGCACAGTATAGGTCTATTTTTATGTATAAATATATGTGCAACTTCAAGTTTTCTGTTAATGTTGTTCAAATGGCATTTACACATCTTTCTACCACAATAATTTTGATGTATAATTTAAAGAACAGCTGCAAATAATTCTTTTATGCCAGATAAAAATGTGAAATTATTGTATCTGAAGACATGAATATGCAGACAGGTAATAAAACCAGCTCAATAAGAAACAGCTTGTAACAAACATATAGGAGAATAGAATATTCTTATCCAACTTCATTGATTTATAATTGGAAAATATTTTTAAGAATTGCTTCAGAAAACAAAGTTCAGTAAAACCATGAAGGGAATTAAATTCTGCCACCTGTACAAGGCCCTAACCTTTGCCAGAACAAAAGCTACAGAAGAGGATTTAAAAGCAAGTACTGGAAGAAAATGCTACCTCTATGGTTCAGGGGAAAATTGAACAATATATTAATATGACACAAAAGCAGAAAAGAGCAATGTTGTCTCTTCACCCAACAACTTTGAGGAACAAAGCAGCATATGTGTGAATAGAACCTTTCTATTGGATGACAGGAAAAACCAAGGGTGACTTCCTCCCTGCTGGGCTATCAGCAGCCTGTAACCCTTAGACATAACATTTGGACCCATTGGTTTTCCAAATTTACTGGAAGTGTAAATTGCCTCCCAGGAATGCAAATCAGGATGGATTATTTCTACTAAACCCTCAATTACAATATCTTAGAATGGAGGAAATTCTCTAAGCCCTCAGTACCAAAGCTCTGTTCTACCACAAATTGTTGTTTTTTTTTTTTTTTTTCTGGAATGCACATATCTGACTATAGAAAAGATTTTTGATTACTTCCCCTCTATCACTGCTCCTAGCAGCCATAATGATGGCTTGTAATATCTGCTATGATTTTCCAGCTCTCTTGGTCAACTTGTTAGACTTCATCAGCATATCAGTAATACATGAGACCATTACAGTAGATGTGACTGAACAGATTCATAGACTTCCTTTATAACTGACCTTCTGCTAAGCTCAAGCAAAAATAGCCATTTCATTAAAAATTTACTGTACAAAAGTCGGTGCATATTAAATCAACTTGCTTCATAAAAATGTACTTTTGCAGAAGTACCAAAAGGTTTATAAAAACTCCATGAGTTACAGTTTTTTGTGATCTGCTGGGTTTTCCAAAATTCCAGTGCAGCAGGAGTCTTTGAAAAACAGAATGGAGTTTTGCAGGGAGGGAAATTAATGTAAACAAACACACTGATACCCTAATCTGTTAAAGACATCCTAAGCTTTTGTCTTCTTCACACAGGAAAACTGAAATGCAAAATGCATCTCAGAATACGCTGTAGTAAATTCAATATATGAACTTGAAAACATGATCATTGATTTCCATCCTACCTCATACGGAGTGAGATCAAAGACTGCTAGTTATTACCAGATGCCTAGAACAGAACAAAAAGCCTGGGCTAACTGATCATTTTACTGGCTACTCTTTGAATGGTCAGTGATCTAGATCTCAGAAATTTTCCAGAAAACAGTCAGCAGTGTCATATAAGACAACCGTCTACACTGAAAATACTGCCTTCTATTAAGGATAAAAATAAACTCAACCACAATGCATACAATAACATATTAGTGATGAAAAAAAAAAATCAGTGACCAGTTAACACTGAAAATAATGCCAAACACACCAAATTAATATACAGCAGAAACTGTTTCTATTACCAGTACAAACAGCTAGGTGATAGGCTTGAAGCACTTGACAGCTATTTAAAAATAATTGAAATTTTTCAGGGTTATAATACACCAAGTAAAACTGGAAATTTTAAGAAGCAGAAAGTGAACTCTATGTAAGTGACCACTATCTCAAGTCCTCTATCAGAGGCAGCTTTTGCAAAATTGTAATTTGTGGCAGGGGGACTGACTGAGGTATGAGAGTGACACTCTACAAAAACATTATAGATAAACTTTGATATTTTCCAAACTGACATAAACTAAAATATTTTTAACTGAGCCCATCCAATCACTTTTTCCTGCCAGAGAAGGACAGTGCTAAGGTACCATCAATTTCTACCCATATGCTTTGCCTGTTTAAATTACTTAAACTTATAAAACGCGGAAAAGGAACTTTTAATTAAGAAGTTAATTTCAAAAAACTCGGCTGGTGCTTATACAGATTCTATATTGCATGATGAAACTACACATTTTTACAGACTTCCAATGCTACTGTTGCATGAAAAAGATACATGTAGGGAAGATACAACTGCTCCATGTTTAGAAAAAAATAAAATAAAATAAAGCGATGCCAGGACAGCCTTTCTACATGTCTGAATTAGAAGACGGTGAGTGATACTCTTACTGTATAAAAGATCAAAGATTGGAATTAAGATCTGGTAACAGAAAAGAACTTTTAAAAGAAATCCAGTATGGAAAATGGTTCTAGAAAATATGTTAGAGGAACTGTAATGGGAAGTCCTGTAATAAGTGTTAGAGGACCAAACAATTCAAGACCATTCGCAGCAGCTTAAACTACTGATCTGAGATATTGATTATTAATATCTATTTTTTCAATATTGTTAGTAAAAAAAAAAGCATCATCTTATACGCAAGACATTGAAATGTGTCAAAATCAAAACTTTTAGTTAGTTACACAAACCTTTACTAGCTTTATCCAAATGCTGAAAATCCTCAACAAAGTTCAGGACATCCTGATAGCTTTCTTCACACACTTCTACAAGAAAATGAAGCAATGTTGTTTTCTGGTCTGCTGACTTTGTGTCCTTCAGCTGGGAAGGGGGAAAAAAAGAAATGGAAAAATACTGAGAAAAATTTTATTTCTGGCCATTTTAATAATTGATATGCATTAGTAATTATTCATCTGAGAAAGGGAAGAGCAAACTATTAGAACAGTACATATTTTTAAAGACAGTAATGGGCTGTTTAATTTCCCCCCTTGCTAAAAATCCCTAGAAAGATCGGACTCAGTATTTTTTCATTTCACGCAATTTTTGTGTTCATATTCAAAAACAGTATACATATTTCTTTTTTAAATGTAATTATTTCAACAATACAGGGATATTTACAAAACTGTGAATAAGCGCATGAAAGTACAAAAAAGAAAAATTAAAGTTAAATCAACAAAATCTAACTATACATAATGCACGTATATCCACCGATGACATGATTTCCTTCTTTATGTATAAAATTAACTCTAACCTAAAAATATTTATGTAGTGGAAGCTGCACAAGCTCAACATGCACAAGTTCCTGTTATGAATTCTCAATACAGTAAATAAGAGCTCGTAGGTCTTATTGTTTAAAAATACTGACTTAAAGATTCTTAAATGTAAAGCTTTCTTTCTAGACTCTTTACACATATAAAATTATTTTCAAGCCTGGCCAATCTAAATCTTGCAGCTACTTGAGTAAAAATACTAACAATTGACAACTGACAAACTTCTGTTGCAGTCTTTCAAATGAGATGTTCTTTCAAATCAAAGACATTTTTATAAATAGAAAATGGCATCACATATGAAAGTGTTAATTCACTACTTAAGAACTATTTCTGCATAAAAAAAAAATTACAAAAAGTATAGAAGCATGTAGGCACAAAGTAAACAGGAGTATAAAAAGGGCTGCCACAATTACACAAAGACTTGTCCATCTGAATATCACGGCACCAAGTCCTTAACACAGTATTGATTTTTCATAATTAACTCTAAAAAGTCAGTTTATTTCCAAAGATCAAAATGCTACTGTGCTGAGATATACTCTCCCAGAGCATGCATGTTTCCCTCCAGAAAAGTGGATTAGTAACACAGTTTTCCAAATAAACAGGAAATGGAACACATATATATCAAAACTCAAAAATATATTCTAGGAGCCTTACTGTATGCAATGTTATAAAACATGATACTTCTATTGTATTGGGAATCTCACTGAAAGATGTCTCAATAACACCACGAAAAACTACTACAATGTGACACTGCGGTGCACGTAATACACTGTGATACATAACAATAGTTAGCTATAAATACAAACCTGTGTTATAAACATGCATATATTTTAATACATCAATAATTAATGAATGATTGAGTATTAGCATATCAATATTGTATCTCCTGTTCTCTTATGTAGAAGAACTAATACAGTCATTCATTCCATACTTTCATTATCTATATACATCAATCCCCTCTCCTATTTCTAGTACTCCATGGTTATCTTCAAAATCTTCATATTCTAAATCTTAATAAATTATTTCTCCAAGATAAATTCTGACTTTTGATCCCGCTCTTATTCTTTTCATAATATATTTTTGTCTTGTGCATTAAAATTACAGAGAATATAACCAGACATAGGACAGATTCTTTTAAAATCATACTTAAGTAAATGCACCTAAAGAATAAAGAACCTTTACTTTCTTCCTTCTGAATATGTTCCTCAGCAAGTTGTCTTTTTAACTCAATCACTTCATCTGCAATGTGTTAACTCCAGGTGGATGACTCATGCTTAATGCTTACTTTAGACTAGGGAAAGAATATAAGTTATTCTTTATGAATATTTATGTCATAGGCATCACATTCAACACTCAGTGAAAGAATTCTTCTGAAATATGGCAGAATAAAGATGATCAGTTTCATGAATGTAGAAGTTAACATATTGTGTTTTCTCTTGAGCAAAAAGATAAAGAAACAGAAAGACAAAGAGTACATACAAAGTTTCAAATAATTCCTTCCTTGTAAGAACTACATGTGCACTCTGAAGATTATTCAGCAATCTCCCAGGGAACATAGGAAAAAAACAACACTAAATATGGGAAAGGTAACTAGCATTAGAATGGATTATAAATTAACACCCAGAAAAGTACAGACATTTTCTTCTTTATACCTTATACAAAAGTTGAAAGAGTGAAAATTGAAGAAAAAGCAGAAGAAGCAAGAAACTGATGAAACTGAGCAACATAAGAGAATCACATAAGGAGTAAATTCATGTCCAAAAGAAAACATAACTGTATTAAAACATACTAAAATGTAATAGATGTCTTAGAAGTGCTCAGACCTGTTAAAATTACAAAACTACTATGATCACAGTGATTGGATCCTTATACAACCTTATTTAGTTTGGGTTTTTTATTATTCCCTCAAAATAAAATCACTTAAAAGTGATTAAATGCAAGCCAGTTTTAAGATGACTATTCATGGATCAACTGTACTTTTCAAACTATCAACTAATGCAAATAATAAGGAAAAAAATAGTAAGCAAATAATTAACTGCAGGAAAAACATCAAAACTATTTATGCAGTATATGGACATTTCAAAACTCACTTTACATAGCGAGCTGAGATTATATCCAAAGGTCTGTGCATTCCGAGAACCTGCATTCATGTAGTTTCCCATTAACAATACTAGTTCCAGTAGCTTGCTAAAGCTTTTGCTCTTCTTTATCTCTTCACAGGCAGCGCTGACAGCCATGATGTCAGGTTTGATGTTGTTCACCTGCTCCTCAAACTGAAGCTTAAAAAGAATAGCACTGAGCCGTGGCCGTAGTCTCTTCACGTTGCTCATCTGATTGAAAAGAAAATTTCCTTTAAAATTCATGGTACAGTTTGGCACTGTACAAATGCATACGCTCTGAAATGATTTATTGGTGTGACAGGCTTGAAGAAGCAATATATCTGCTATAACTGATAGCAAATAAATGAATGAATGAGAGACAGTTGGGTAAGCAACTGAAATCCCATCTTGTGGTTAATAGGAACTGCCCCCATCCTTTCCAAATAACTAGTATGTGTAAGCAATAAAAGATAAAGTGTCATCATATATCACATCTGTCAACTCATATACCAAATTCCATAAAACTAATCCAAGTTTATGACCCAGCAGTTGCAAAGGAATGAAAGTAGTTCACAAATTTTGTATAACTCTGGATGTACCAAAACAAGACAAATCTCATTTTCTGGTGCAAATATTTGAAAGCTGACGTCAATAAGAGCCTATGATAAACTTGCAGTAAAATAACAGTTTTGAAAAAATCTTTGAAACACTCAATATAGTATACACTAATATATACCAATACTCATACCCCCTACACTCCTGTATACTAACCTAATACAGTTCATTAGTTGCAGCTGAATGCTTCCAGGAAAACAGCTTCTGTTGATCACATACAAAAGCCTTGGCTTTTTCTATGGCTTGCTGATCATGTATTTTCAACAGAAATTGACCTCTTATATACTAGGTCACCAAATTCTCACTCCAGACACACTTTGCACATTGTTTACTACATCCACACAAGGAACACTAAAACATTATTCAATAAGCTGCTTATCTTCTTTTTCCTATCCCTGTTTTCTCATCAATTTCATTAATTCCATAAGATCTTCTTTCTCATGCTTGTCTTCTTCTTTCTCAAGACATGGTTCAAGACAATAATTTCTTTACAATTCTCAAAATCTTAAACTAAGTTTTTACTTTTTTTTACTTTTTCTCTTAAGAAGGAACACATTGTTTCCAGCTATCAGTACTTCTCAATGCAAGAAAGAAGCAATAATATTGGTACTTCTCCTACAAAGCAGTAGGCTTCATACAATGGCCTTAAACTTTTGCCTTTAAATTGGACATATCCCCCTCCAAACCACAGTGATACCTCAGGGTTTTACAGACTATTTCTCAACACAGATCTAGTCTACCAATGTGAAAATTCCTGTGACAGCGCAGCATTCATAAGTCATATGGCACTGATTATCCCCAGAGACTCAGTGTAAAGGATAATGGTGACACTCCATCCATTTTCAGTGTAAAGTGAAACTGAAGGCTGTCTCATCCAAAGGGTTTGATATAGAGGCAGAAGAGGATGGAATTTACAATCTATTTTATTGGTTTTACTGTGACAGTAGAAGAAAATAAAATCAGGTAGAGTTAACGTTTTATGTCACTAGGCCATTTCAGAAATGCCTGAATAGCTGTGCAGCCACATGATGATATCTCATTGAAGTAAACACACCATTTGGATTTTAGTTCAGGTAAAAAATCATGATGTAAAATAAGAAATAATTTCCACTAACCGTACCTTGGTTTTCATCATAGAGCACATCACATAATCAGATGTCTTTCAGATTAAACTAGGTTGAAAATCAACTGTTGTACTTTAGTTGACTGATTGCCTCCAGCCTGGTCGTCAAGTAAAACACTTAAAATGTACTCTTTGAACATTATTAGCTCAGTACCAACTGTAGACAGATATTCTGTTCTTATACTACATGAAATAGGATCCACCAAGTGTGGTAAAATTCTTCTTAAGAATGGATAAATAAGGATAATGGCACTTGAATTTGAACAGGGCATTTCACAGCAAAATAGAAACAGAAATACCTGAATTCCACATGAAATTAAGACAGTACTCTAACAACTTTATACCTAATTTAAGAATAACTACATAAAAGAATGTTAAGGTAGTAGGCAGAAGCAAGTGTCATAAATTCATTCCACAAGTTCTGTCAGGAAGAATCACTATTAACTCCTTCTCCTCAATTATCTTACTAAATTTGTACTACTACTACTCAGCATCTTGAGAACATGTTTTTAGTTATAAGTTTTGTCCTAAAGTTAGCCGGAAAAAAATTGGGACTAGACTAGGAAAAAAACCCCCCATCATTCCATTGAAATTATCAAGATTTTTACTATTTAATACCATACTCAGGGTACAATAGAGATGACCATTAATATTAAACCATAGAAATTACAAAAATTCACTGTAAGTTGCATTGATTTTAAATGATACTGAATTCAAGATACTACTGAATCACCAGAGGATCTATCATTTGTTGATGCTTGGCTTTTCAGACAGGCAGATCCTCAAAACTGAAATATTCACGTACTTTAGACCACAGAGATGTGTTGCACAAACATGAGCATGCACATCTGCATAAAAAGTGCAAAGTTTTCATCAGAACCACTTGAAATACAAGAAATTTCGATGTCCAGTACATAAGTATGCAATTCTTAAAGTTGAATGCAGAAATATGTAATCTTAAAAATTAGAAACAGGAACACATGCCAGAAACACAACAAAACTGCCACTGGGATTGTTATTATTGCTATTACTAGTATTATTGTTGTTGTTGAAAATGCTCTGAAATCCATGCACAATGCATGTTGTTGGTATTATTTCTTTACTTGTTTGCTAAGTCAAAAATTGAGAAGAGTTTCTTTAGTAACATATGGCTTTTTTGTGACATGTAGTTCAGTTATATTTAAACTGTAAAATCCATACACCCTACCACAAGAGGTGCTAAGAATCTAAGTGTTGCAATGCTGACCATCTTATGTTAACATCCCTTATTTTTTTATAATCCGAGTATAAGGACATAAGTTTACGTCAGTTTTGATAGTGGAATTCCAAAAACAAACAATCCAAATAACTAAAACAGGAAGTTGAATTAGAAACCTATACATGTCAGAGAACTCAGTGCACAGGTAATGAATTGTACTACTTTTTAAGTAATAGTCCACAAAAAGAGTTTCACTACAAGCAAGTACAAACGGGAGCTGACTTAGGGGTTGAGATACCCAGTAGCAGCACTCACAGATCTCTCATCCAACAGCAAAGACAGGTTCTCCTCTCAAATACAGCATAAATCACAAGGCAACTACAAGAATGTGCAATCTGATATATGTGTACTCTCACTATCTTTTTCTGTTGATGTCAAGCAAAGGAAAGCATCTCAGAAGTTCCACTGACACTACATTTTGATCACTGAAGGGGTTTCATTCCTGTCACAAGCTCATAGAAAAAAACACTGCAAGCACTTCAGTTTCATGCCTTCTTTAAAAGGAGTACCAGTGCTGAGGCTGTCAGACCACCTGAAAATGTTCTCATTCAAAAGGTAAAATAACAGTTACAGCCAAGCTGACTCAAGAGAGCAAACTGGAACACCATTCCCTGTGGAAAATGTATGGCTTTCACCTCTGCAGCATCAGTGAACTCCTAAGAGTGCAGAGGTAAAAATGACACTTATCTTGAAAAACAGGAAAAAAAAATCAGATAGGGAAGGACTGATACCTTAACAGGTACTTTATCACGTTTAAAGAAGATAAAAGAACATCCTGCTCAATTTGAAAAGGACAGCCAACATGCCTAAATCTTAGTGAAAACCAGCAGCATTCTGGAAAGATCAAACATTATTTCACACTATGGGAAGTCAATTTGCGATAAAAACCAGTATTTTTGTTGAAATGTTTTTATGTATAGTGGAAATAGTACCTCTTTCTTCACCTTTGACATACTCTTTTTCCTCAAGGAAATACTAATAAAGTCAAGAACTGCCAATACAAAATTAAAATTACTTAAGAGAAATTGAGTACACATATAAACATATATATATATATATATATATATACACATACCCACATATTTATATGTATGTATTCATGCAAACAATTGAACTAATGACTTTTCAGCCTCATTAGCAATGATGGAGAGCATGTCATGTTACTCTGCTTCTCCAGCCTGAATTATAAACAGCTTGAATCACTAAGTAAGTTTTTTGCAAATCAAATATTTTCCTAAAGGATATTCAGAGCAGAATAGAAGGCAGTGTACTGTAAGTGACACGGGGACAACACCTATCAATTACCTCCTAGCTGCACACAGGCAGCCTTCTTTGTCTTGTGGATGACAGTGCACTGATTCACAGTGCAGAAAATCCCTGGTACTGTTTTGGATTGCATTATGTTCAACAAAGATGGCCCAGCAAGGTCAGTGAGCACATCTCAGAATTGCCCATGGGGGCTACACAGCTGTCAAAATAAGCTGAGCTTACAACCTTCAGGCTGAAATTCACAGGAAGGTAAGTTCTGTGAAAAGAAAGTAGCCCTTTTCTTTTGTCTTATCCAAAAAAATACAATTAGATGTACTGACATCTTGATCAGTATGAAATGCAGACCGCTTTTGTTTCTCCAAGTTGAAACCAGACAATATTTTCCTAAAAACGAAACTTCCAAGAAGGAGAGGGTCCAAATTTCCAAAATTCTTCTATTTTTAGCTGGCCTAACAGATGTCTGAAAGGCTATTTTCATTAAAAGACACATATGGAGCAGATGCTATCAGACTGAAAAGGTTGCCTCATGGGAAACCAAGTCAAGAGCTTAATATAGGTAAAAATCCTCTGTAAAACCTCTAATTCATACAGGTAGCAAGAATAAATAAAGTAACACCAGAAGTCAAGGGCAGATGTCATTGAGGAATTCAAAAGCAAATATTATAGCATCAAACCAAATGGAGAAAAGTTTCTGAAACTGTATTCCAGATCGAAAAATCTGGTAAGCCTGACTTTAAAATAAAGCCTCATTTTCTGTCTGGCTATTACTAGGAATCCACCTCGTAATGAAAAGTCTACTATAAGGAATATCCCAACACAGAGGTCATGAAGACACATGATCAAGGTCTGGATGAGAATGTCTCAAAATCATGACAGCAAGTTTAGTACTTCCCATCAGGTTCAACCATCATAACAATTCCCACATAATAGTGGAATTTGATGTTACATAGCTTGCAGCTGATTTTG